CAGCCACTTTCAGCATTTACTTTAACACATTGAAACACATTTGCAATCGTTTGGTGCAACCTAACCTGATCTCTGTATACACGCACCGCACGCACGCACACGCACACATTTCGAACAATTATTATGATAAATGAGCATCCACAAATTTATTTACTGTTTACAATGTCGATTGCTTTCCAGGTCTTTAAATGCTCGATTGTAATTTGGTTGGGTCTTTGCTTTTGCTGACTGGATCCACGACCGATCTTGCCTTAGTTAGCTGGATCACACACACAACAGATGCAAATCCGAGCGAGTAACCTCCATGTAGTACACCTTGGATAATGTTAATACCGGCGCTACTCTATCATTCAACCCTCATAACTCGCAAAGTACTTAATAAAAATGAACATTATTATAGTGTTTTGGAAAGCTCTTGAATTAAGCTATAAGAATATGCAATCAAATGTAGGGGGTGTCATTTAAAAAAGTCAATGTGACCTTGACCTGACCTTGACGACGCCATCCAAGGTCAAACTGATAGAATCAGTATATAGATCTTCTTAAACCCTACAACTTTTGTTGGAAACACTTTTCTGTAAAACGTATATTTTCCGAGATATTTAGGGGTTTCCACACTTTTGGTAGACCCTGTATATATATATATATATATATATATATATATATATATATATGTGTGTGTGTGTGTATTTAAAAACAATTTTAAAATAATTAAATTCTCTGGAGAATTTATAATTAATATTTAATATTTAAATATTTTGATTATGATGTACAAAAAACAGATTTTGTAATATTGAAAATTTCTCAACAAATATAATAAGTTTATTGAATTAAATAATTATACATTATAAACACTTTTAAAAAAATTTGTTTATAAATATTAATTATTTTGTTATATATACGAAGATAAATGTTAAAAAATATTTGTTACAATATTTATTAATGATATACTTTTAATAATAAAAAATAGTGAAATTTTTGAAAAATATTTTAAATCATTTTATAATAATAAAAGACAAATAGTTTTTAAACGTTAATATAAAAATATCAACAATTCTAAACTATAATATATATCGAATGTCCATAGGACGTATTAATTAGGACATTTGATTGATATCCAAAAGAGGACATTCAATTTATGCCCTATTTATGTCCATGGACATGTGGACACAAATTGGACTTAAAATGTACGTCCATAAGACATTCAGTGCTATCTGGGTTGTTAATTGCAAATTACATATTTTTTCTTAGAAACAACTATGTGTTTTCTTTACACCAATTGATTCCTCTCATTATTTTGTACATAAAAGTATGAAGGTAAGATAATCGAAAAATGAATGGTTTACTAGATATTTTATGGTTTATGTAAAATTAAGAAATTATTTCAAGCTTTATAACTCAAAAAGTACTTAATAAAAAGGTACTTAATTATAGTGTTTTGGAAAGCTCTCGAGATAAGCTACAAGAATATGCAATGAAAAATAGGGATTCCCATTTAAGATTTCAAACTTGCCCCCCCTCACCGCCCAGGGGGAGGGGTGGGGGGGCTGATTTTAACGTCATTGTACGTCCCCCTCAAAATGACGAAATTTTGATTCTAACCATTTTTTCGTAGTGTGCTTATTTTTCGAGTTATTTGGCTGCCTAAGTTAAAATGGGTCATCCTGTATATATATATATATATATATATATATATATATATATATATAAAATATGTAATGAGTAAATAATAAAATATAATCGTCATAAAAGTTTAATACAAGTTTGTTGCGTATCGTAATATATATTATTTTATAAGACAGCATCAACATATATAGTACATCCTCCCAAAACTTCAAATATATTTCCAATTTTACAAATATGATGTTACTCTTTTCTTACTTTCATGCAACATCTAAACCTTATTCTTCCAAGTAATCTATTCATACAAGTTATGATTACGCAGAAAAAGATAATTTATGTACTGTGACCGTGAAATTTCTTATTTTTTTTTTCTGAACGGGGAAGTTATTAAGAGGACCGATGGTGTTGATCCACGGCACACCTTCGGCATGATCACCCTCCGTCGACTAGGCGGTCGCATCAAAAAAAAAGAACAAGAATTTCTGGGCGCCAAGCGCGAATATCCGCGCCGCGCGAAACGCTAATTAATCGCAAAGAAAATCGGAAGGCCGATCGTGACGGCCCGAAATCTCGGTAGCTCACGCAAACGGTGTCGGTAGAGGCATGGAGTTCGCGGAGAGCGGGGGAGAGGAGGTCGAGAACGGTTGTAACACTGAGAGAAAACTAATAGTAATCATAAAAATTCGTAACATATATTTCGTCGAGAAAAGAAAATCGAATAAAATAAAAAATGTATTTAATCATTTGGTTGCCATTTCGACATAATTTCACGCGCACAACCAGTCGCAATTCGGTGAAATTTGTTTTATTTACGGCGTCTTATATTACGGCGGCGAGTCCCATGAGCGAGACAAGGACAGCGCTATCGATGCGCACGGCCGCGATCAAGAGCGAGCGAGACAGAGCATGGATCACGCGGTCGATGCGTGTCTATTGTGAAAAGCTGGGAAAGACAAATAGATTATTAGCCGACGGGTTAATGAAGGTGCGGCAATTAATCGCACCCGCGATACTGTTCTCGCCCGCCCGAGATCTACCCGATAGCAATCGATACTTTGCGAGCCCCGCGCGATGGAATGCGGTAGGGCGTACGGCGCAATACAACGACGTCACGTTAATACGACGAGTTTCGGTCGAAACATAAAGATTTTCCGACAAACTACGACAGCCGAAACGCACAAATTATGCAAATAACGACGAAATAAGCTCACAACGACGATAGATCTCACGAAAACGCGTACAATTTACAATATACGACAACGCGAAATATGACATGGTGACTGGCGGCGGCGGCGTTTCCCGGGGAAGCAGCGGTCCTACAACAAAAGCTCGGACGAATCGCTCGGCCCCTCTATTATTCGCGTGTTTCCCAAAATCGCGAAAGAACGGAGACGTTAATAGCGTATGGGCCACGTGCGACAAACGCGAATAATCGATATTATCTGATACATAAAATCGAGGGCCCGACACAATTCGCCCGAGCGGCAGCGAAATTGTTGGCCTTACAGAAAGATCGTTCGTCTCACCAGAATGGTCCTCGAAGATCGTCAACAGAAAAAGCTCTCGGTATTCTCAACGGGATCTGCGTCGTTAATCCGCCGAACAGTGAGGTGCGTGAGGTCCGCGGGAGACACGTCGGCGATCGTTTCCCCCGATTTTCCTCGCCGAATCTAATTGGCGCAGGGCCGTGTCGCGCCCTTCATGGGCCGATTCTTATCACGGCCGTAATTCTGCTGTATGGGTCCCGGAAATTCTCGGCCGCAAAGAGAAATACTCTCGGCAAACGCCCCTTGCCCCGCCTGACTTCCTCGGGGCTCGGGAAATCCTCCGGTGATCCTTTCAGTTATTTCAATTACTCAGTTGTTTAATGCAAAATAATTTGAAACGGTCCGCTTTTCTTGACGCTCCGGAACGGCTCGTCGGATAGCCAGGATTTGAGCGAAGGGGGGGAAATAAATCAACTTGTGCGAACATTTTCTTAAAACTAGATGTATTTTTATTGAATGAATGAATTATGTACAAGGTGTGTATGCGAGAGTATAAATGTCGGTGTGATTGTGCGTACAATGATTAAACTTGAAAATAATATCCGGTGTACAAACGAAAACAGTAAGTCTTGCGCGGGTAAGTAATATACAACGGATGGACGAGAAACGCGTATAACTAGTATCGGACGATCACGGAAACGCGGACTTAATCTACGGAAACGTGACGGGTACTCGGGACGGACACGGAACCTAGAACTAGTGTTGAATCGTCGACGGGGCTGGTTGAGGGCTGGATCAGGACGGCTCAGAGATGCCGGCGACACCCCGTGCAGTCGGGCAATGCCTCGACTGAGACTGCGTACAAGGAAACCGGAGTTACCCGGTGGATCGGACGACAAGTCGTCTCGGACTGGATCCGGGAAAACCGGAGACACTCGGTGGATCGAGGAACACCTCGACCGGGACTGGTACAGGAGTCGGAGTTACTCGGCGGGAGTCGAGAGACACCTCGACCAGGATCGGCTTCAGGAAGCCGCAGACACCCGGCGGATCGAGTAACGCCTCGAGCGGGATGGGATGACCGACACTGGAGACACCCGGTCGAGCCGAGGAACACCTCGGCCCGGGCGAGATCTGGTCAGGATCTGGCCTCGATGCACTGGTCGTGTCGGCTTTTATACCGGCCGGAGATTCCCCTACCTGGCGAATCACTCAGGTGGGGCATGACTGCGAAAATTCGCGAATATTCGGACAGAGCGAGAGGGAAAGAGCGAGACAGCAAGCAAGACAGCGAGCGTGCGAGCGAGGAAGCGTACGGGCATGCATGGTTGTGAGCGAGATAGCGGGTGCGATTAAGGAAGCGAATAAAGAAGTAATTATATTTTATTAAATAACGACAAATAGAAACGAGGCGCGGGCGCATCGTTACAAATTAATTTACTTTATAATTAAATTAAACGGGATTATTTAATTAACAGAAAAGGAATTACACTTCATTTTTATAGAACATCATCGCTTCAATGAATTGATAGCGTCCGTTAGATTTTGTATTCAAGAAAATCCTTTGAATGTGCAACAAATAACTCGACAAGCAAATAAGATTAATAAGACTAGTAAAATTTAGTTAAGTTAAAACAAATAAAATTTAGTTAAGTTAAAACAAATAAATAAAAAACAAAGCTGTAAACAGTGTGCAACAGATTTAAAAAAGCTTTATTTATTTAAGTTAAATTCCTGTCGCCAGTAGATAAAATAAAAGACGAAATTTAAATCGACCACACTGGCAATTTTTGGTTGACAATGTATCACAACGTTCCGACCATGGGTTTTGGTCCTTAACAAGTGAACTAAAAATTGTTTCCAGTATTATTATTATTATTATTATTATTATTAACTGGCGTTCGGAACTTGAAAGTTCATAGCCGCAAATACCAAATCTCGCCAATGTTCCCGTCCCTGAGCAAGATCCTTCCATTCGCGCCCCTCGTACCCCATTTCGTTAAGATCCATTCTAATATTATCCTCCCACCTACGTCTTGGTCTACCCAATGGTCTTTTCCCATTAGGTTTACCCATTAGTATTTTATATGCGGTTCGATCCTCACTCATACGCGCCACGTGGCCTGCCCATCTTAATCGGCGTGATTTTATAACGTTAATTATATCTGGACTATTGTATAATCGATGTAATTCTACGTTATGTATTTTTCTCCATTCGCCCGTCTCCTCATCGCGCTTTGCACCCATGATTTTTCGAAGTATTTTATTTTCGAATACTCTAAATTTCTTCTCGTCTTTTAACGTAAATGACCACGTTTCGCTGCCATAAAGGACTACCGGTAAAATAATCGTTCTGTAAATTCTAATTTTTAAACGCTTAGACAACACTCGCGAACCGAGTAATTTATTAACCGAATAAAAGCAAGCATTCCCCAAATTAATTCTTTTCTTAAGCTCTTCTCTTATTTCATTAGTTTGGTTTAAAATCGAACCCAAATACTTAAAATTGCTGACCCACTCAAACATTTTATCACGAATGACCAAGTTTTCGCAATTATGAATATCCTGGATTCTATCAGTGACCATATATTTAGTTTTTTCAGCGCTTACTTGCAACCCAAGTTCTTTCGTTTTATCTAATAAAGTTTTAGTGTTATCAATTAATGTTACTTTATTATCCCCAAGCAAAGCAATATCGTCCGCATATGTTAATAGCTGTGTTATACCGTTTAACCGCAGACCATTTTCACTTTTCTGCATTTCTTTAATAGCATATTCCAATACTAAATTAAACAAAAGAGGTGACAATGCATCCCCCTGCTTTAATCCGCTATGAATGTTAAAAGTTTCCGATATTTGATTACCTATTTTTACTCTACCTCTAGAATCTTTTAAACAGGTTTGAACCATGCTAACCAATTTTTTAGGAATCCCCAGCCGAATTAAGATTTCAAACATTTTCTCCCGTTTAATCGAATCATACGCTTTTTTGAAATCAATAAAAAGTTGATGTACCGGTTGACCAACTTCCCATTTTTTCTCCAAGATTTGAATAGTAAAGATTTGATCTGTAGTCGATCTATTTCTTCTAAAACCGCATTGATGATCCCCACTTATTTCCTCTACATATGGTACAAGCCTCGTCAATAAAATATTCGACAAAATTTTATAACAAGTAGGTAACAGTGAGATGCCCCGATAATTATTACAACTCATTTTGTCGCCCTTTTTGAAAATCGGAATTATAATTGAATCTTTCCATTGTTCCGGCAATGCTTCTTTATTCCAGATTAAGATAATTAATTTCTGAATTTCCTCTATTAACCTACTTCCTCCCCATTTCATTAATTCCGCCGGAATCAGGTCGATGCCCGGTGCTTTATGATTTTTTAATTTTTTAATCGCGATTTTTACTTCTGAAATTGTCGGTTCGTTAATCAAAGGTTCCGCCGTGTGAAACTCAAAATTCTCTATTTCCCGGTCGCTTTCAGATTCAACATTCAATAACTGATCAAAATAATTTTTCCAAGTATTTAGTACTCCCGTTGAATCCGTAATTAAATTATCGTTCTCATCTTTTACCATTTCCGTCCTAGCTTGGAATCCCTTTCTAAAATTATTTATTCCCATGTACATACCGCGGACGTTACTGCTTTGACAATTTTCATCTATTTCTTCAATTTTATGTTTCAAGTATTGACGCTTTTTATTTTTAAACATATTATGAGCCGCTTGCCTAATATTAAGAAACTGATTCCGAGTTTCAGCCGTATTATGAGTCAACCATGCGATACGCGCTTTGTTTCGTACTTTAACAATTTTTACGCATTCTTCGTCAAACCACGGCTTGCTTTTGCGTCTTTTACAAAAACCAACCGTGGCTTCCGCCGATTTTACTATCGCGTCGCGTACGTTTTCCCATTGTTTGTCAACCGCATTATCCTCCGATTCATTAATTTCCTTTAAGGCCGCGAATTTATTCGTTACTTCGACCGCGTATTTTATCCCGTTCTCTCCCTCGGTAAGACTTTGCACATTTAGACGTTTGGAACCAATTAACTGCCCGTTAGTTTTGTTTAACGAAAGACGTTCTCTGATTTTGGCAATTACCAAACTGTGATCCGAGTCGCAATCCGCCCCCCTATAAGACCTAACATCGAGTACGTTCGTGTGACGCCGTTTATCTGCAAGAACATGATCAATTTGGTTACGCGTATTTCCATCCGGGGAAATCCAAGTTTGTTTATGGATATTTTTATGTCTAAAATATGTGCTTTTGACGATAAGATTTTTGCCGGTCGCAAAGTTAATCACCCTTACTCCGTTATCGTTACTTTCCTCGTGCAAGCTTTCGAACCCGATCGTTGGTCTAAAAAAGTCCTCTTTACCGATCTTCGCGTTAAAATCCCCCAAGACTATTTTCATGTAATCATTCGGCAACTGGTCCACGAGGCGTTCAAGTTCCTCGTAGAATCCGTCTTTAATTTCGTCATCCTTATCTTCCGTCGGCGCGTGTCCATTGATTATCGCGATCTTGTACCATCGGCCTTGCACAACGAGCAATCCTAGTCTTTCGTTTATAAATTTAACGTTTTTTACCGCAGACAAAATTTTCTTATTAATCATGAAACCGACGCCAAAACTATGGATCTCCGACCCTCCATAGTGAAACGCATATGAACCCACGTTAAGTGAACCTTCCCCGGTCCATCTTGTTTCTTGCAACGCGACGACTTCCATCCCGTACTTTTCGACCTCCCCGACCATCGATTGGAACGCCCCAGGTCTGTAAAGACTTCGGACGTTCCACGTACCCACTTTGATATCCCTCCCGTTTTTTGACTTTATGCGACATGAGTTCCCCGAGGTAGTCCCCACCCGGAGATCCGAACGGGGGACTAGTTTACCTCCGGAATATTTTACCCCAGAAGAATCCATGACGAGCTTTGGTTGTTACAAGATAAAGTCGTTTTACGGTGTGAGCTTATCAAACCTACGCCCAACCCCCAAACAGGAGGGCCTTTTCCAATTGGCTGTCCGCGACTGCTTATTCAATTTATTCGCAGCTAGCCTCTATCCCTAACCGGGACAGAGAGGCCGTTCCTCTATCCGCAACCTGAGGACGCGCTGTGTCGTGGTGATTGGGACCCACCCCCCCGGGGACCACTACAACTAGTTTTTTCCCCGAGACTAGCGGCTGTTATGCTAACACAGATTGTTTCCAGTATTATAAACAGAAAATAAATTACAGTAATTTCAAATAACAAGTGAACAGAAAATTATATACATACAATATCTTAGTTAACTATTATATTGTAGAAATCAGGAAATAAGGAAATCACTGTGTCAAGATTTCATCATATCAACCTCTCCATGAAACAGAGAAAGACAAAACAAACTTTATTAGTCTATCATAAATATTGTTTAAATTCTCAATGTCCTTTTGTAAGGTCTATCATAAATATTGTTTAAATTCTCAATGTCCTTTTGTAAGTTAATAATGTTGTCAAACTTTTGATAAAAAACATTTCAGCAATTTCTCTCTTCCTCACATGTTTTTCATTGTGTAAAATAACCGGTATTGACCAATTAAAGTCGTGATTAAATTCCAATTTATGTTTGCCAATTTATGTTATATTATTGTTATATTATTTATTATTATGACTATGCTACAAATACATAAACTTTTACATAAATAATATACCATAATGCAAGAGTAAATAATCTTCTGCGTAGCCATATAATTATAATTTTTTGAGCAATGAACGGTTCAAATCGATCAATTGTTGTTGGTAGCGTTTGGTATTAACCGTTTCACCAGGCTTTAACAACTCATAATAGACCACACCCTTCTGTCCCATCAAACACAGAGCATCGTCTTCCTGCCAAAGCGATTCGGTCTTGCGGTCGATGTGGATGGTGCGCCTGAGTCTACCCATGATCTTTTACGCTCGGGATTCTCAAAATAAATCCACTTTTCATCCCCAGTAACGATATGATGCAAAAACGACTTTCTCTTGTATCGTTTGAGCAAAATTTCACATGTGTTTTTGCGCCTCTCCATCTGCCACTCATTCAACTCATGTGGTACCCATCTACCAACCTTCTGAATCTTTTCCATCTTTCGTAGGCGATTGGAAACAGCTTGTTGACTAACGCTTAATTGCTTTGCGAGTTGTTTTTGTGTTTATGCATCATCTTCGTCCAACAATGCTTGCAATTCTGCATCTTCGTACCTTTTTGGCGGTTTTCCGTGTTCCTTGTCTGCAACATCGAAATCACCTCTTTTGAAACGCCGAAACCATCGTTCACACACGTATCTTGCGATGGAGCATGTTCACCATAAGCTTCTCGAAGCAATCGGTATGATTCAGCAGCAATTTTCTTCAAATGAAAACAAAAAATTAATGCTGTCCGAGTACCGAGTAATTCGACTTGGTACTCGAGTCCCACATAACTCACTGGATCGACCGGTGGGTATGCATAAAATGCATTTTCCCCTCTCTCGTAAAAAAAAAATTACAGGTGAGTGAACGAATAAAAGAGAGAGAGAGAGAGAGAGAGGGAGAGAGAGAGAAAGATAGAGAGAAACAGACAGACAGAGAGAGAATGTATGTGTTCGCATGTGTGTCTGTATCAAAGCTGCCAGATCTCCGCCGCAAGCAACATGCAACACGGCGTGGAGGGGGTAATGAGGATGTGAGCGTAAGCGTACGTGTGAGCTCGGCGCTTCGGCTAGCTTCGGATAGTAGAAGAGGACAGAATACAGTTTTCTGTCTCCTTCCTACCGAAAGACGGGCAATACGCGACGCGTCACGATCCTCGATATTTCGATATGCGCTCAATGTTTCTTTTACAGCATTTTTATTGTGTTTATAATATGTATCTGTATATACATATAATGTGTTTATAATATGTATCTGTATAGGTATATATATGTATACACATACATATTATAAACATATTATAAAGAATAATATTTAAATAATTATATTTGTATTATATATATATATATATATATATATAATATTTAATATATTTATAATATATATATATATATATATATATATATATATACCGTACAAATATAAATATGTATTAATTATATTACAAAAATATATTATAAAACTATTTAGTTTTTTATAATAATTTAACACTTGTTTTCTCTCTCTCTCTCTCTCTCTCTCTCTCTCTCTCTCTCTATATATATATATATATATATATATATACATATATATATATATATATATATATATATATCTGTAGTTACATGGTATTAGAAAAAAGTGTATTTTTGAATTAAAAAATTGTATAATTAAGTTTTTGTTAATTTTTTTAAAACATGTATAAATTAGATATATTTATGTACAAATTGTATATATAATTGTATTTTGAAAAGCTTGATTACCATATATCTATGTTGCCATATATATATATATATATATATTTATCTTCCGAGGCACAATGTCCCGCTAAAATTGACGGTACTGGCGCTGGCGTGTGCGATGCGTGCCCTAAACAAGCGCGAATCAGCGCTCTTGTTTTAATAGCGATAGTGTAGTATTTGGTACACGCGTACGCGTAGTGTAGTGCTGTGAGGTTAGGTTAGGTTAGGAAAACACGTGGAGATTTTGCTATAAATTTATCAAGATAAGACATATTTAATATATCATAAGAATAGTTTGTCACATTATTCACACACATAAAATTCTCAAATGATCAATTCAATTTGATTGTATTTTGCTTCATTCACTAATTGATTGGACTATCGTTTTTTATAATCTAACCTCTAACGATAATCTATAATTCCATAATAATTACTCAATATATAAACGATATATATGTAACTAAATATATGTATATGTATATATATATATATATATATATATATATATATATATCTGAATGTCTAAATGTAAATATGATTAATTTTATAGTAAACTAATAAAATGTATTATTCTTCTTTGCAGTTGTTTTTGCAGAATTTTCTTTTCGCACGATTATTTTTTCGTCAATCAACAATCATTATCAATCACAGGTAGGAAAATATATTACTTAACTTAGAAAATGCCAAAAGTAAGGAGAAAATATTATCGAAGAGCACAAGAAATAACTAATCTAGTAATTAATACTGTTCAAAATAAGAATGTAATGCCGTTATTAAGAAACACATCTTTAATTTCAAGTAATAATTTAGAGAATAATAATGACTTAAGTTACCAGGGTTGCAATGATTTTCAACATATCAATAATAACTATAATGATTTAGAAGACACAAGTAATTATAATTCCGACAGTGATCCCGATGATTATATAGAACATATCAATTTTGTAAATAACTTTGAATCTACAAATTCCACTGATAATTCTCCAAATTCTATATCTTGGTTGCAAGAATGGGCAATTAAAAATAATATAACTCATATTGCGTTAAATGAATTAATATCTAATATAAAAATTAAATATCCAGAATTGCCTAGAAATGCTCGCAGTTTATTAGGAACTCCCAGGAAAATTAATGTAGACGTCGTTCCACCAGGACATTACTATCATTTCGGTTTAGGTAATTGCATTAAAACACTTTTAACGCGATGTTCTTTTCAAAATTTACACTGTATTGAAGTTAACATTAACATTGATGGCCTACCATTATTCAAAAGTTCAAGTAGTCAAGTTTATCCCATTTTATGCAATTTAATTGGAAATTACAATGAAGTTGATGTTATTGGAATTTATCATGGATATGAAAAACCCACAGATGCCAATATATTTTTAAAATCTTTCATAGAAGAAGCAAGAAATTTAACTATTTATGGTATAAAAATTAAAGATCGCACGTATTCTTTTAAAATTAAATCTTTTATATGCAATGTTCCTGCTAAATCTTTTATTACTTATACAAAGGGTCATTCAGGTTATTACGCCTGTTCTAAATGTACAGCTAAAGGCGAATATTACCTTAATAGAATGACGTATCCGTATTTGAATAGTTGTCATTTAAGAACAGATAATGAATTCCGTTTGAAATTACAGGAAAACTATCATACAGGTACATCAATAATTGAATCAATTCCTAATATAAATATGATGAATGATTTTCCATCAGATCCCATGCATTTAATATTCTTGGGAATTGTTAAGAAACTGATTTCTTTATGGTGTTATGGAAAACCTAAAACAAAATTATCCTTTTGTCAAATGTCTGAAATATCAAAATTATTAGAAAATCAAAAAAAATATATACCTTTTGAATTTAATAGAAAATCAAGATCTTTATTTGAAAGTAAAAGATGGAAGGCAACCGAACTTTTTTATTATATACGGGATCTGTTGTTTTAAAATCTATTCTAAATTATGATCAGTATTTAAATTTTCTAACTTTACATGTACCTATTACTATCTTGTCAAATTCAAAGCATATGGAACAATATTTAAATTATTCCAAATCCTTATTGCAATATTTTGTAGAAACATTTATTAAATTATATGGTAAAGAAAATGCATCGCACAACCTGCATCATTTATTACATATTTGTGATGACGCACAAAAATTTGGAACTCTTCAAGAATTCAGTGCTTTTCCGTTCGAAAATTATTTACAATCTATATTAAAAATGATTCGCAAAAATAATAAGGAATTAGAACAAATTGTTTGTCGTATATCTGAAAAAAACTATTGCATAAATTCTAATTTCAAAGTGAGATGTAATAAGCCTCAATTTTTAAATCCACATTTTAAC